CTTCCCCCGACACAACCTATTCCTTCCTTCCCCACCAAAGGGAACCACTGAATTTTTGAAAATTATTTTCTTATAATTTTATCTGCAATTTGGCTGAGTTTTGAGTTATCAACTTAAAGAAAAAATAACAAGTGTTTTGAGTTTCAGTTTTATTCAAGGACATTACCGAGACCACAGCCTGGGAAACGGCCTCTCTGCTTTGAGGAACTGCTCTGAAGAGAGGGGAGGGGCATATATATGTATATGTTATATTTATTAATTTTTTTGGCTATGAAAAAACCTAGTCAGGCATATATCTTGGTAAAAGATCACTGCTAATCAGGAAGAACATATCGCAAGTTAATGATTTTAGTGCTTTTCTGTGGCTCATTGCAATTGTTCCCTAGGTATGTACCTTAACTATCTAGTGGCCCATTTATCCAAAGCACAGAATGTTTTATCTGATTCCTTTTCCTTCTTGAATTCCCCTCAGGGCAGAATGTTGGTGGGGTGACTGCAGTGGGTTTCAATTTAACCCTTTGTCTAACTGGATGGTGAGAGGCACCCTTTATTCCTTTGGGTTTTTTTACAGTCTCCTCCCTTTTTGGTCATAAATTCAACTAAGGTTTGGGAGGCATTTCATGTGTAAGCCACCTGAGAATTCCACTGATAAGGCCATTCCCATGCTGTGTCTGGATTAGGTCCTTTACTAACCTCCGAATCCTCTGGACCGTCTGTCTTACTAGTCTCTTATGATCCAGGAATTGTTTCTTCCCATACCTACGGTTGTACCACTACAGTTAATTTTATAGAGAGTTACATATGTGATCAATTACCTCAAGACATTTAGTCATCATTAGTTTTGTCAGAGCCCTGGTTATACATTGGGTGATACAAGAAACAGCAATCTTATAAAATAGGCAGGATGTAGGTAATATAGCTAGCTAGTACCATTAATAAGGTCATAGTACAGGAGCAAGAGAGAGAGAAGGACTTATTACTTGCAGCAAGTAAAGGGAACACCAGGGATCTTTCCCAAAGCAGTAAGTCTCCCAAAAGCAAAATTGGGGAATTTTTAAGCCATGGGAATATGCATAATGAAGGCCTTGGGCAGTAGACAGAGTTCAAGCTTTAGTTGGTTGAAGTCCTGAGGGTCAGAAGAGGTCAACATCATCATCCCTTAGATTCCAGCTGATCTGGTGGTTGAGCGCCCAAGGAGGAAATTATAAATTCTGTAATACAGCTCATGACAGTGCTTTAGAATGGTTTTACCATTGCAGTAAAACTAGGAGTCTTCACAACTAACTGATTTGTTATCTTTGCAGTTGTTAGTTTTCTTGCCTGATAAGCTTGTCCTTCTCTTCAGATCATTATTACTGAGACCTGTTCAAGGGAAAGTACTGTGGCCAGATTTACATCACAAATGGTTTAGGGCAATAAAGGGCTTCCCTTAGGTCAAGAAAGTATGGTTCTTTCTTTCTCCAGGGACTGGCTGCCCTACTGGGTTACAACACCGAAAGGTAGAGACATACCTATAATGTATATACAACATATAAACAGACATAACAGGAGCTCTCATAGCTTCGTTTTAAAACTTAGTCATAAATCAGGATTTGCAGTATGAAACTGACTAATTATAAATAACAGTTGGAATAAGTTATTTATCTGCTCAGATGGCTAAGGCTTTTTATTATCTACAGAAAAGACTGTTAAGATTTGTACTCATCACTGACAAATCCTTAAAGAGGCTGTGAATTAACTTCTGGATGAGGAAGCCATTCTAGTAGTAATGAGTTTTCAAAGGACTCTTTCCCCTTTTTCCCCTTTGGTTTCAAGATCTA